TTTTTTTTTTTTTTTTAGTGTTAAACTTGAAAACAAAATTAACTAAACAATTTTGAGAAAGCTTTCTTTTTAATAAAGTTTATCTGTTGCTTTAATACGTGTCGTCTTTTCAGTCGCTGATCAACGTTTTACACTACTGTATTGACTACTGTATTGAAAAAAAGGTTTCTCATTAATTGCCGCTGTGTTGCCAACTACAGTAATTTTTTCAGCCATTGAAAAGATGAGATTACAGCGAAAAACTGAGCCGTATAAGCAGCAAAAAAAAAAAAGTTCCTTTTCCTGACGGCTGTAATTGATTTGTTAGTGTTTTTTTGAATAGCTGAATAACACTAAAGTTGTTATTCTTTTTTAATATTTTCTGCATAATTCATAATCTGTCTAATATTCAATAAATTTTATAAAAATTTTAACAACAATAACAGTTAGTGACAATATGCCAAAAAAAATCGCCTAAAATCACTTATCCCTCTACCAGTTCAAACGAAAGAAAGTGGTTGTTTGATAACTTTGGAACCTTCAAACTATCTGTATAAGTGATAAAGCTTATAGATTATTGTGTCTAATCTCGCTTGTAAAATATGTAAAAAAATTTTTGTTGACTGTAGATATTGGTTCTGCCAATTCTGCCAACTAAGTGTAGCCAAAAATGTAGCCTGTATTAGTTTGTAAAAAATTTGTAGCTTGTAAAAATAAAAATTAGCAAACGGAATAAACTGGTATTGGATTAGAGAAAATATAAAGGAGAAGAAGGAAAAATAGCAGAAAAATTTGTGATCTAAGATAGAACTTTTAATAGAAATTTCAGAAGTAGTAAGAAGAACAAGAAACCAACGAAAAAAAAAAAAAGATTTTATTCATAAACTTGTAAGAAAAAACTGTATAAGTTTTATTAGTAGACTTAATATAACATGTTTGCGGTAGAGCATTGTACAGTAGTACTGATTCATGCTGAATGAAGACACTGTGATACTGAGAAGCACAGTGCTTCACAGAGCTGTCGCCAAATTCAAGATGCTTTTCAAGTTTAAATAGTGCTGTTATCTTCTATTAGTTCTTCTGCAGTATTAATCGCTCCCTCATTTAACAATTAAAATAACAGCAATTCTTTAGCAGCTTTATAAGGCTAATAATCAAAGTTGAAATAGGCGACAGTAAGTAAGCAAAAGTTGGTAGGAAGAAGAAGAAATTAGAACTTTTAATTGAAAAAATGCTGCTAAAAAAATAGAAAAAACCTTTTTTTTCAAAAACACCTCTACTGCTACTCAAATTTCTACAATTAACAGACTGAAAACTTTAACTAGAAGTTTTCAACAAAACAACTTAATTACATATTTTTCGGCATTAACTTGCAATATATTGAAATATCACCTAATTGTCTTGTGATTTTGAAAATGTTTTAACATTAGACAAGGTCCTCATTTTTTTTTTAGTTACTTTTTTACACTTAAGAGAACATTTGATAGGGTGTTTTCGTCTACCGAACAACGAAACAGGAGACTGGAAAGTGAAAAAGAAAGGAGACCTGAAAGACAAAAGTTAGACCAAAAAATAATTGAGCAAAGGTCACTGTGAGAAAGTCCAGTCTATTTACCACCCAAAAGACACAATCTTTTTTACTCTTTGTCTACAGATTCTAAAATCGTTGTACTAGAATATAGGTGATACATCTCTGTCACTGTAAATTACTTCTAAAAAAAAAAAAATACATAAATAAATAAATTATAAAACAACAAAAAAACTGTTTGTTTCTTCAGCAACTGGAAAACAGGACGGTAAAAATTGATGCTTATATCGACCACTTGACGTAATTTTTATAATACATTAACAGCAAAAAAGCAAAAGAGAAATGGCACATTTGAAAAATTGAAGAATTTTTTGTACGCTAATTACAGTTATGAAGTTGTAGTAAAGATGACAACGAGAAGTTTATAATTATTGACAGTCATAATGCAGTCACAAAACAACAACATTTTATACAATACAACAAAACGAAAAGCAGCAGTTTAGTTTATTATATTACAAATATCTAGGTGAAATGTCATAATAAAAGACAAACAACATAATCTATCTCTATATCACAAAAGAAAGTTTTTTTTGTACGCTAATAGCTAACTTACAGTCTGCATCACTTCAGTAAAGGAAGTGAAAAATTAATGTCCAACTCTAGTTCAAGTTGAATAGCGAATACGTAAATTGTGCTGCTGTTTGACACTTACCACTGCAAAGCTTTACGGATGACTTATTTTCTAATTTTCTTGCTTCCTAATTGTTTTACAATCAACTAATTTTTTTTGGTAGTTCTTCTACTTGTTATGCAGTTTTCTACACCTTTTTTCTTGCAGACGTGACGTCAGAAAGCTGGGAAAGGCTAGAAGAGAATAAAGTGACGTAATTTGGTGTTAGTCTGAAGTGCTTGTTGTTGACCGAAAAATGTAACACTTTTACAGCGATAAATTAGACATTTTTCTCCTTGACACTATAAAAGTCAGAATACTCTATGTATCATTGACAATTTAAAAACTTGACACATTTTTTTTTTTTAATTCCAAAGTTTTAAACTTGTTGCTGGTTTTTTTTCTTTTTTTTTTTGCCCGTATTTTTATCAGATGACTACAGTTCGTTGACGCTTTGCTTCTGTTATATCAACTGTAAGTTTAACAGGTTTATGGAAACCTGAAATGTATAAAGAAAGTGTAATTACGATAGATATTTCAAGTTTTTACCGAAGTAATATTTTTTGTGACATACGAATACTTATGTTTTTCTTGGTGAAAAACAGGTCAGATTTATCATGACGACGACACATAACGAGGTATTGAATTCCTTCACACCTGGCTAAAATGTTGCGTTTGGAAACAGCTAACGTCACACAGTGAGACAGCTTTTTTTTTGATTTCTGGTTTTAACTGAAAAATTTTTTATGAAGTAGAGAAGAAGAAGAAAAAGAAAGAGAAGTTATAGCAACAAATCTTTCTGCCTATATAAGCAGAAAATTTCGTTGCTAAAATCTTAAGTTATTCGTGCCCCAAATTTATTTTCAAGTCAAAAAAAACTTTCATATAGAGAATTACGCTGAAGAGAAAAGAAAAAAATATCTTTATGAGAATCGACGAGAACAAATATGTACATAAAAATGTATATATAATTTACAGTGATTTTTAAGAAACAAAGAAGAGTTTGTAAAAAAAGTAATTGAAAAAAAACAAAAAACTAACACTTCTATATAAAACTCCTGTCAGAAAAAAATTCTGAGAAAAATAACAAAATTTACAAATAAATTTCCCTTCCTCAGATTTTGCTACTTTGTTTCACGACCAATTTTCATGTTTTTGATACTCTTCAACATTTCCAAAAATCCTGACACACGTCTCATCTCATACCTAAATCTTTCACCCAATTTTTTTGGCCACCAATCATACTGGCACAATGGCGTCAAAAACGTCATCATTTCCTTTAGCTATATACAGATACATATTTATATATACACAGATACTGCTCTTCTGCTAACAGTCGTGCGACATCTGAACGGCGCTACTCTTTATGTACATTTTCTTCGGGCTGTGACTGAATTTCCTGAAATAAGTATATAATTGTAATGTCACACGCAACAACCACAGATTTATCAAACTGTACAATTAGCACTTATGCTTACTTTAGCAAAAGCATTGGTATCGGCTGGAAATGAAATAAGACCATAGATTTTCAAGTAGTTTTTGCGGCGCATTTGCTCACGATAAATCACCTGTTGTTTTACGGTCACCAGATCATTAGCAACCTTACATATATTTGGTTGAAATTCATGTTGCAACTGTTCATAATAACGATTCAGCTTGGCTTTTAGCTCTTCTACCATTTCATCCGAATGCTAAAACAATTCCACAGTTAGTCTGTAATACAGAAGTTAAAAAAAATTAGGAAACGGCAGTTAAGCGAAAACAACAACAATAGAAAAAAAAAACACATTAGCTTTATTTGGCATCCTTACCTTTTATAAAAAGTATAGTTATTATAAACCAAAAAATATTTTCCAAACAAATTAAAAATTGCTAAAAAAATAATCTAAATTTAGTTCTACTTCAAGTTCCTTGTAATACTCACTCCAGTGCTTTGTACCACCAAATTCATTTCGTTAAATACTGTATAGGCAGATAAATTTCTTTCCAAAAGAAAACAAAAGATCATATTGCCTTTTTTCTAAAGTGCAACGTAATACGCTTAAAGAAAAGATGTTTTATACCTCTCATCTTCAGTCCTGAATGCTAAAACAACATTTAAAAGAATGACGAAAATGCTTACCTCTGGAACAGTAACCAGCGATGGATTAATGGGAAGAACAACTCTACGTGCCCTTCGTGTTTCCATTTCGACAGCTGCTAATCACCAGATGAAACAGTTGATGAGAGCAGAACACAGTCAAAACGCTGTAAGTAAAGAACAGTTTTGGCAATTAAACTGTTGTTCATATTTTGATACATATATATATATATATATACACATATACAGAGATAAGGTCAAATAGACCTATTTAGTTCACAGTGAGTACGGGTGGTAGTGCTGATATTAACACTGTCAATACAGTTAAAGCATGTGTAAGGTGCCCTTGGTCGATGATTAACATCGGTTACGTTTTGGTCCCTTGGAATATTTCAACAGTGCTTGCTTCTGGTTACTCATCGTAACTTCCAATTTCACAGCCACAAATGGCGAAATATATTATCAATTGTCACGTCGTTTGTAAAAAAATTTTTTTTGTTACACAAATTATGGCAGATAACAGCTTTATTGTCACAGCCATAATTGACTCCTCAGTTTTTTACATTTACCTATCTTCATAAGCTATTTTGTCAGTAATTGTTTTTTGTCTTATTCACTTCACTGCATTCTAAAACTACCTTACCGATGTCTGTATTACAAATAAACCAAACATATGTGACATTGAAAAAAAAAAAATAATTAAAAATTTGTGTATTACTTTGTTGGCTTTTTTAAACTTTAAATACATTAGTATTTGCAACTTTTACAGCGCAACTGAAAATGGTTCTATTAGATGCACACTGGCAAAACTACAAAAAGAAAAGCTTTAAATTTTGCAAAAACTCATTGTTTTCTAAAATTTTGCAAGTTACCAAATTTGAAATATATATCATCACAGTGACTTTCTAATTCACAGAGTAAATTTAATAAGCATGTCGTGATAAAGCATAAAGTTGGCACATTTGGATGCCGGAACTTTAGGCTAAAATTGTATTGCAAAAACGGCGCTTTTTTAATTTGAATATTTTTGACTAATTTAAGAACACAAAAGAGGACAAATATGTATAACTGTTAGTGTTCCTTCAACCTTTACAAAAAATTGTTTGAAATAAAAGAAGTATCTTTAGCTATATGTTTATCTAGGCTTTTCTGCAAAAATGTTCAGGAATTGTTGAAGATTTCTGAATCATAAATAAATGTGTCACAAGACAAGTCATATATGGGTAGCAGAGGAAAAAAAAAGTCTTAAAGAGGGCAGACATTCTGCTGTTAATTTGGTGAGGACCAGTGAAGTAATTCATAATTAGGCGTGAAATAATGATAGAAACAAGGCCGGAAAGACATAAAGCAAACCCAGAATTGATAAGAACGATGTAAGATTTTTTAATTAAGTAAGGTATGCCAAGATAAAAAATTGATGATCTGTTATATAGAGGTTTTTCATTACCAGTACAGATCAAACAATTTCGTCTATCATAAAATTAATGAGCAAAAGTAGCTATGTTTGGCACTATTGATAATTGTCGGTATAATAGGCTACCTTTAATCTTCACAACTGTTTTAAAGTTTTTTTTACAAATAATCAGTGTGCTCAGTATACTTCTTGGCTATTATGATAATCATCTATTATTATAATTGATTCAAAAATACTATTAGTACCATTCCGTAAAAAGCACTCTAAAAAAGTTGCTTTCTTTACCAACTTTCAACAGTCATTCATATTTATAAATCTTTTTGTTTTAACTCTTCAAGAGACAAATTTTCAAAGAGCTAATATACTGCTAAATTTGTTGCGTCCTGAAGACATTTAGTTTGCGTAGCTGAAGAATTTGGCAATATTATTCAAGCAAAAAGAACATTAAAAAATTATAATTATGAATGTTCAGATTAGTAACCATCTCATCAGCTATAAAGCATTTATTTTACTACCTGTAAATTGACACTTTATATAGCATAAACGATGTGGTTAACGCTAAAATAAAAAAAAAAAGATTTTTACGACCTTATGATTTTCTAAAGAGCAGCAACAAAGTAAATTCAATAAAAAGTTGCAAGTTTTCACAAATTTTCATCTTTTTTTTTTTTTTTTTTTCAGCAAAAAAATACAAATTCGATCAATTTTTGTTTTTGAAGCGTATGCCTGCTGTGGAATATCTGTATTTGTTCAATAAATGATCTTTTAAAATTAAATATGCAATGCAAATAGAGGTGCAACTGCAAGATTATTTAGTTGGTTGTTTTGGTAAAGACCTGTAGTTGTTGTGTTATACCAATTAGTACATCAAAAAAGATTTTTTTTTTTTTGATCTTCTCTTTTAAACTTGAAACAAGTATGAAAATCTTCAGGTCTAATTTTGTTTATATCGAGTGACAGATTTAATAGACTTTTACTCTAATTTTTACCAATATTCAGTCAAATTTTCACTGTAATGTTTGCATTACTGTTGGCGTTAACGGCAGTATCACTCAAATTTGAAGCATTCTTTAACAATGAGCGCCTACTATATGACCTCCCAAAGAGTAGCACATTTGTCTCAGTAAGGTACGCTCTTTCCCTAAGCAAGCAACAGAAACAACTTCTCAAAAAGTTCTTCATGAAGTTGCTTACACTTTGTGAAAGCCTAACAGTAATTTTTTTGTAGTATTTTTTAGTCTGCCCTAAACTGATTTTTTTTTCAAAGATAGCCCGTTCTCAAATTTTTTTCTTTGTATATTTCTTCAGCTAACCTATGTTCATGAATGCGCAACACTTTCCTAATATATTCTGTAAAGCAGCGGTTTTGATAGTTATTCTGTCACGATAAACACCTTAAGAAGCATTGGCTTCTTTGTTAGTGAATTTCCAAATTGAGAAACTGGCGTACACGGTACCTTTATTGGTAACTCATAATGCTGATAAAATTCTGTAATACACTTCTCAAAAACAGTTCTTTTCAGGAGGAGAAAATAATAAAAAAAAACCTTTTTTCAGGACTTCTATTAAGCTATATCGTTTAACTGCCTAACAACTCTACAGTGAAACAAACTGAGCAAATAAGAAAAAATAAAAAAATTTAGGTGCCATTTTTCAGCTTTCGTCTCTTCTACTTCTTTAAATAATTATCTGCAGATGCTTCCTTTTTTTCTCTTAATTTTTGTTTTCAATTTCGCAGCTTTTTTTTTCTGACAGACATTTTCTGGTGTCCAAAGAAAGACCATAAAAGTTGACAGTTTGCAAGCTATATTCTATAAAATTAAACTTTACTGATAAAAAGTACAACATTTATCTCGGTTTATAGCTATTTTTTGTTTTTAATCTTTTGGTAGCTTTTCTTCGGCTTATTCTTTTGTCATTCCTTTCTTTTTTTTTGCAACATAATGCTGGTTTATTTTGTACTTCTTGATACCTGTCACGTGACATTGATGAAGAATTGCTATTTTGGCGAAAAAAATAGGCCCTTGAAAAACTATTTTTTTTCTTAACTTTCTGACAATAAAAAATTATCATATTTATATATATACATATATATATCAGAAAAGTGGTGAATGAGAAGTCTGTATCTATTCAACTTTCAGACAAGTACAAATTCTCATATACAGCTCTATTAGCTTGTATCGTTTGACCGTCTAACAACTAATGCAGCTAATTGATTCAAGCTTCGACGTAAGCGTAGCGACAGCAAAAAAAAAAAAGGTAGATAAGTAACGACTGATTTTGAAAAAAAAAGTCTATAAAGAAATGTAAGTTATCGAAACCTTGTCATGCAAGTCTTCACTGCTAACAAGAAGGGTTTGAAGCTAAATGGCAAAAAATATTACAATGTTATGTCTATAATTTTGAGATTGAACACGTGTTATTGAGCCGAAGCATAACACACAAAGTTCAGCAATAAGTAAATTCACAGAACAAAAAAGTGCATTGATAAGAGCAATACTGAAAAGACTATTAAGAATTTATACTTCATTATTTAACAATACAGTGCTGCTGAACTTCGTCGGTTTGACTACTGCGTACAGCCTTTTTTCATCTACTCTTCTCCGTCAGAACAGTACTTTGAGCAATGTTCAAAAAATGTTCAAATAATAACTTAAATAAATTTTCCAAAACTGCTCAACGTTTTTTCAAATCGAGATTCTGGAAAACAGTTAAAACAAAAAATCTTGAGGAGATTTGAACAAGATATGACTGTTCTTATTCTGACGTCACTTTTTTTCCAGTTTTCTGATAAGTTTTCTTCTACCGTTGACTGCGCCTTGGCATGAAATTTTACTACATTGAAGAGCTTTGCGAACACTTAAGAAAATTTTTGTTGGTAGTGAATTGCCGAATAATACGTGAAAAGACACAAAACAAAAAAAAAAAAAATTAATAACTTAAAAAATTATTGAGTGA